ACTGACTACATATGTACATACATATATATATATAAATATGTATGCACGTAACCATATGGCTCACACATTGCTCTCGACCGACCACCAGCAGTAGGCGCATTATCCTTTCGCGCCTCAAATGCATACGTGCGCCTCAACACGATGACATAACGACACGTGTGGCGACTCTAAACTCACAAGCAATGCCGAGTATTGGATGGATAAATGCATATCGGATACGATCAGGCGCTGAGTTGAGTGTAGACTGCATCGCCTGCATCGGCGCCGTTGAGTGGTGGGTGCCTGTTTTGTTGCATGTCACACTCAGCAATTTACCAGCTAAGCATAAAACAACAAAATATGCAAGACAAGAACCCATCAACTAAGTGAAAGGCGTAGCAAAGCAAAGTAAAGAAAAAACGAATATCACTAAAAGTAACAAAACAAAATAGTAAAATAAGAGATAAAAGACCAATAAAGATAGAAAAAAGCAAAATGAAAAAAAAATTAAAAAAAAAGCAATAAATGCATATGGAGGCAAAAGTAAAACAGATACAATTTCTGTATATAAAATATTGCTTGGAGTTTCTTGCGTGCATACATACATATACATACGCACACACGCCTGCATATGCATGTCTGCATCGGTAAAATGTGTGGTCATAAAAATTGACTTCAACTTTGACATAACAGTAATTTAAAACCTGACTTTGAGCATGGCCAACGCATTGAATGAGCGAGTATTTTACTCCTGCAAGACACAACAGATAAAATAGTAAGTAAAAATATCAGCACCCATGTATAGTATTGTAAGAAATTCGGGGGAAAAAAGAATATGGTAAGGAGAAAAAAATGTTGTTGGTAATTTGAGTAAAAAACAGCGATGACAACCAACCGGCTTTCTATTCTCAAATAAATGAAGGGAGTGACTTATGTTCGAAATATATTCATAATAAAAATGTAAACGATTTAAGTTGTAAATTAGTCAGTAAGTCATAAATCAAATATTTTAAGAGATAAACATTTGGAGCTAATGAATTTGAATTTTTAAATATTTTCAATTTTACTTTTTCATATCTATGTTCAAGTATGTACATATGTCTAATAGATGCATGCTAGGTAAACTTTTATGAGTAAATTAATATCTTCTTCTTATAATATATTATTCTTCATAACCTATTTGATGGTGAACAATTCGTTTATGAATTATTCAATTAAGGGGCACACTTAGTGTGAAATTTCAAAAAAATCGAAAATTACATATTAAAATTTCAAATCGATATCTCAAATAGTTTTTGAGTTACAGCATTTTAAGGAGCAACCGCACGGCAGCTAAAGAGTCTCATTAGATACAAGTACGAGTGAAAACGATCATTTTATCTTTAAACGCGTTTTTCCCGAAACAACATTTTCCGAATTTGCCGCAGTGATTACTCAAAAACAAATTATCCGATACCTATCTTTTTTACATGTTCTACAATATATATAGTATAGTTCTCCGTATAATGAAATCAAATTTTGGCAGGCCAAAAATGATCAGAATTTTGGGTAAAATTTGACTATTTTTTTAAAACGCCGCCGTTTTGTCAATTTTTATTTTTTTTATCGTAAGACATTGTACAGACAATATTATCTAGTAGAGTTTTTTTTTCGATTTCGTCCACGGAAAAGGCCGGAATCACTGCAGCAGTGAAGGACCTTTTTTCGCACCGTTGGAGACCGACTATAACTTAAAAAATATTTCATCTTTTTCTTCAAAAATTTCACTGTATATCCTCAAACATGTAGAAATATATTCTTAAAATTTTGAAATAATTGATAAAGTATATTTTTAATAACAATTGCCAAAACTCCCCCTTTTTTAGGCCATTACACTAGGTGTGCCCCTTAAACCAAATATTTTCTAATCACTTGTATTTTAATTGGCCGACAGCATTTAATGGATTTATTAGTTCATAATACTTTTGGGGCTGCATAAACTGGCTTAAAAGTGACACCAATAAATATAATTTAATGAGATTTGGTTTCTTAAAACTTAAATTGGCTTTTTAAGTTTTATTTTATTTTGTTATTTTTTACTTTAATTTTCAATTCATTTCATTTTTGCTCATTTTATTTTAATTAAATTTGTTTAATTTTTCATATTTGTATTAATTTATATAAATTTTTATTTTTTTTTTTATTTATTTTTTTTTTATTTTTATTTACTTCTTTCAGTTTTGATTTAAATAAATTTAAATGAACACGAAAATGAAATAATTATTTCGTTACCTTTAATGTTTACTGTTTGTGTTTAGTTTAATTTGGATTTCGTTTCATTGCATTCTTTTTAATTTTTTCTTCAATTTTTTTTAATTGTCTTCAGTTTATTCGCTTTTATTTTATTGCTTTCCTTCAGCTTATTTAATTTTTCTATTTACTTCATTTTATTTAATTTCAATTTTATTTAATTTAATTTTTTTTGTTTTAATTATTTTATTTTATTTTGATCTTAATATTTTAATAAAGTTTATTTTGTTTTATTGTTTTTCTTCTAACTATTTTTGTAACATTTTATTCGTTATTGTTTTAATATTATTTTACTTCATTTTGTTTCTTTTTTTTTAGTTTTATTTTCACAGATTATTTATTAATTATTCACTTCTATATATTATTTTAATTTCAATTAATTTAATTCATATTAGGTTGCTCTTTACTTTATTTTATTTTATTTTATTTAATTTTTTTTAATTATTATTTTTTTCCGTTTTTATTTTTTTTATTTATTTATATATATATATTTTTTTTTGTTTGTATCTTATTTTATTTTATCTCATAATTAAAGATATATTTTTTATTATATTAAATTATATTTTATTTTTCATATTTGGCGGCCGCGGTAGTAGAGTGGTTAGCATTGCGTACTGCCTTTCGAAAGACTCCAAAAAGATATATAAAAATAATTTAAATAAAAATATTAAACCAAATTTTATAATTGCGGTCGCCCTCAAGAAGGAATGAATGTCCACCCCTCCGAAAGTATTTCTGGCATAAAAAAAAAGCTCATAAAAAACCATCAGTCGTTCGGAGGCGACTTAGTATAAACTGTAGGTCCTCCCAGTGTTGTTAGAAAAAAAATTTGGAGGAGGAGCTCGGGGGAAAATCGCTGCAGCTGATACAAAGCGCCAATTATACATATTTTAATTTATTCTATTTAAACTTATTTAATTTCAATTGATTTTAATTTATTTTAATAATTTTATTTTATTATTAATATTTTTTATTTAATTTAAAATTTATTTTACCTCAATTTATTTTTTTGTATATTTTAATTTATTTTATTTTATTTAATTTAATTTTATTTTATTTTATTTTATTTTATATTATTTTTTNTTTTTTTTTTTTTGTTTTATTTTATTTATTTTTTAATTTATTGCTTTAATATCTTATTTTTTTTTGTTTTTTTGGCTATGTTTGCTATTTTTTTATTTTTTTTTTATTATTATGAATTTTTTTATTTTATTATTGTTTTTTTTTCTATTCTATTCTTAATTTTTTTATCTTATTTTGTTTTATGTTATTTTATTTTGTTTTTTTATTATTTTATTTTTATTTTGTTTTATGTAATGTTTTATTATCTTTTTTTACTTTGTTTTTTTTTATTGCTCGTATTAAATTTTATTTTATTATTATTATTTTTTTTTGTATTATATTTTCTTTTATTTTGATAATTTTTATATAATTTTATATTAGGCTATGTTTTATTTTATATTCTTTATAATATTTTATTTCATTTAATTTATTTTTACTTTATTTTGCGTTTTTTTCTTTTTACTACATCCGATTTAATTTTAATTTAGCTTACTTCGCGTTATTTTATTTTAATGTGTTTAATTTTTTTTTATTATTTTACTTTAATTTGTGTTTTTTCATTTAATTCATTCTAATTTTTTTGTGTTATTTTATTTTATTTTGTTTTTTGTTATTTTATCTTATTGTTTTTTACTTTACTTTTTTATTCATCTTATTACATATTATATTTTTTTGTACAATATTATAGCTTTCTTTTATTTTGTTATTGTTTATTTTATTATTTTATTTATTTTTTTCCTTTTTTAATGTATTTAATTTCTTCTCAATTTTTTATATTATCCAAATTATTTCATTTGATTTTAATTTTCTTAGTTTTTTGGTATAAATTTATTTTATTTCATCGTGCACCTCAAATGTCACTCATTGAGCGAATTCTTCAACGAGCAACTTTGTATGCTCAATTATCACGATGAGGAACTCTCAGCTGCTTGGCAATAAAGAGCGACTTAATACATCAGTTTAGGGTAAATTTTTCGTACATTTACAAAACTCTGTGCAATTTCGTACTAAATCTGCTACGGATGGTGACAGATGTTGTATTTTCGTATGTATGTATATACATGCAGTCATTTCGTTGCATCTTTGTTTGTATAGGTGTTTGTGTCTCAGCTGTTTTCACCCTCCATCGTTTGATAGCGTCCGATATTGAGCGGCTTCTATCGCTTGAAATGCGTTTGTTTGGAACTTTTGAGCGGTTTCAAACGTTGTACTTACACCAATACACTCAAACTCGCGCGTACGTGTATATTGTGTACAAACATAAAAATGTACCCTTATAAGAGCACATTGTTGGCGATACAACAACGTATTGCAAGCAAACGCTAGACTACGCTCAACTGAATTCGAAATGAAAAACATACACATACATACACACATGCAACACAGACAACAACACTAATAATAAAGTATTTGTAAGGTATGAATTTTCGAGTTTTACGTTCCAACTACTTCTACTCTTCGTCTCTTTATTTTGTATGACATTGTATGGATGTATATGTGTTTGTATGTTTGTATGTGGCGTTCTCAGCGATATTGCCACTGCTGTTTCTCATTGTATTTTCTGTTGTTGTCATTATTAGTATGATTGTTGTTGTTGTCGGCGATTTTTATATATACGTTTTGTGTTGTTTCTCGTCTCGTTTCAAGCTTCTTCAACATCAGCCACTGTACAAGCAAATTAGTGTAGTATTTGTGTTGCACAGTACTCAGAGCTAAAAACCAGCACAAGACGGCGCGCGTGAATATCTATCTACAACACGACAGTGTCGAGTCAGCGTATGAAACACAAGCCCCACCGCAGCAGTCGTTAGGCTAGCCAGCGAGACTCTAGCACGTAAATACGTAGAGAACGACGATAATAACGAGATTTTTTCTTATTCATAATCACAATAATAATAAATTTTATTTTTAAGAAATTCTTATGCAACGAATTTTCTATAAAACAAGAAGAAGAAGAAGAAGTGTTCAATTAACTTAAAAAATATGATTTTATGAAAAAAAAAACAAAAATGGAAGTGTGTTTTGAGGCGTAAAATGTTGAAATGGATTTCTTGTGATATTTATCACAGAGTTCGAGTGAAGCAAAACGATTAAAACGTGTATTCGCATAAAAATATACATATTTACGCACATACATACATATGCACAAACAAACAACAACAAGTTGAATGCTGTTATTTTACGATCCTGATTAGCGCCCATAAAGTGTCAAAAGTAAAAGTCAGAAGCTGTGAGTGTATGTTTGTTTGTGTTTTGAAAAGTGGCGCGCTACGTAATCCTGCCTTATCAACCAACAACAACTTAGCCATTATCTGCATATGTTCATACATACATATGTATATACATATGTACGTACATGCGTGAGTGAGTTTGTTTTGCGAACAAACATAAGGCAAGAAAATATCTAAAATAGAAGGTGTGTGCACACCAAGCCGCGAATAAACAACAAATAAATTGCAGTTGCCAGGATTTATTGCTGTTCGTAAGGAGAAATATAAACTTATACCAAGCGCTTAATAAGTGTGGACAGCTGTTTGTAGTTGTGTGAGTATAAATATACATTTGACAAGCACTGTATCAATTATAATATTATAATGGAAATTTTATTAAATTAATTTAAAAATCATTAAAAATAAAATAATCCACTGTAATTAAATATATAAAACTAAACATGTTCTATTCGCATGATGTAATTGTCTAATTATATTTACCTGCAGAATTCCACATTTAGTAATGTAATCACATTTAGTTATTTAATCTTATCCAGATTGTAATTAATGCTGAATTATTCATTCATTTCCAACGGCAGACAAATTGAATAAAGTTATATTCAAGCCACATACAAATGATTATTGTTATGGCATAGTTGATTTGCTATGTATACATATGTACATACTCGTATGTATATACATACGAGTGCACATGTATGTATTGTAGTAGTCAATCAAGTTTGAAAAAATAACTATGAAAACTAATAGCATGCAATTACTCGTGCATTCGCGCCAAATTATCTGCCATTCACTACAAAAAATATATTAAAAACTGAAAAATGATAGCAAAAATTAGAACGCCAAAATATACATACACATATACCGACAACTGTTAAATAGATTATTAAATTGTATTTTTTATGACTGAACTTTTTGGGTTTTAGCTCGTACTTTTAACTTTAATAAAAGCTCTGCCGAACTCAACCAAAGAGCTTTAAAGCTCCTCTAAGACTTAAATAAACAATTAGGAAAATTAAATAAATCATATCGTTAAAAAAATATTACTACAAGCAATTACAATTCAATTGAGAAAAATCTCGAATACAACACAAGAAAGAAGAGATATAGCGAAGACAGCATGCCGAAGTAGTTATACCTCTCATCTTCATATACAGTTAATGGCATTTCATTTTTGGATTAAATATTTAATAAATCCTATACCCAAAAAAATTGGTTGGATGAAGATTCCGATTTTGATAACTTCAAGATTTGTATGTATATACGAGTTTGAACCTCACTTCTAAACCAATCGGTTGTGTAATCCACCGATTTCGATATCAATGGCTTTTCAACCTCAATACTTGTATAGCATGCAAAATTTCTTGCTTTCAGATGCTTTTTAAACGGATTTTTAACCTAAAAGCTCATGTCTGAACTCAGCAGTTGTACGAGGGCTACATGATAAAGTCAATCGATTTTGATTATTTTTTAAATCGATATTCATTTGTAAAATACCAAATCTCACTATTGTAGATCTTTCTTTGATGGTTTTTGACCCAAAATCTGCCGTCTCAACAAATGGTGGGTGCTATATAATATCAACCTCCGATTTCGATGAGTTTCGGTTACTATATCTAATAGTAGATATGAATGTACATATAATACCAAATTTCATACTCATGGCAGCTTTTTTGATGGAGCTTTGACCTAAGCCTTATGACTGGAATTGTCGTTATATGGTAGCAATGGGTAATTCATTAAAGTATATGTGTAAAAAGCCAAATTTCATGGTCTTATATGCTTTTCTGCCAAGTTTATTAAACAAAATCTGACAAATCGGTAGTGTTCATGTTTTAGTAAGCCGATTCGACCGGTTCCGACAAATGATTGTTTAAAGGTACAATTGTAACTGTGTAAAATATCTCAACAACTGAGAAAATAGTTTGATAACAAACAGACGGAAAGACACACTGAACTTGTTATTCTGACGTGGAAGGTTTAAATTCTGATGGCTCAATCTCTCCTTCTTTTGGTACTTACGAACTAGAAGTGAATATACCTTTTCATACTTATGAAGGGTATAAAAATTGCGTCATTCAGGCTATAGATAAGAGAAGCTTATCAACTGATCTCAAAGGTCTAATGGGAATTTCGATGGAGTAGAGTAGCATCCAACCTTGACTTAAATTATTTATGACTGATAACCGATCTTTGATGTAACCTATTGTGGAAGCAATAAAACTACAAAGCTTTTCCACTGCCTAACATATATTTGTTGACGAAATCTAATAGGAGTATTGGGTGCATTTGAAGGTTCTACTTTTCACTAACAACGACATCACAAACCGAGTTTCACAAATATTTTATTTGATTTGATTTTATTTTATTCTTAAATTAATAAAATTAGTAAAACTTTCATGGAAATACATATTTAAATATATGAATTATATGTATTTTCAAAAATGTGTAACCCAGAGCAGCATGTGGTTTAACAGCTCCATTGCGACCTATCGGACAATCTAATCTCTTCATCGGAAAATCAAAAATGATTTGTAATTAGCATTTTGATACGCCAAATGCTCGATTGTTACAAGTGACGGCATGCTCGAAAATAAGCACCAAGATGATTCGATACCAAAAAAGGTTGTCTAACGTCGTCCTGGCGTATAGCGATGATATTGACACCATAGGCCTTAATAACCTTATTGACATCATAGTTCTGCTATCTTCGGGCTCGATAGAGAAGCGAAGCAAATGGGTTTAGTAGTGAATGAGGACAAGACAAAATATCTACTACGTTGCTGTTGACAGTCATAACTTCGTGGTCGTAGATGAATTCGTTTATCCTGGAACCAGTATTAACACCATTAACGATGTCAGCCTGGAAATCACCCTTGTCAACAGGTGCTACTTCGGACTGTGTAGGGTATTGAAAAGTAAAATCATCTCTCAGCGAACGAAAACCAAATTCTATCCGTCCTACTGTACTGTGCAGAAGCGTGGGCAATGTCGACATCTGATGAGTCGGCCCTGGGAGTTTTCGAGGATATAGTTTTGCGTAGGAATGAAACGACATGTCGTTCGTATGAACGAAAATGATCCAGCTTTTAAAGTGTTCGATACAGTACCCGCTTGTGAAAAAAGGGGGAGAGGTAAATCTCCATTTCGTGGAAAGGATCTGGTGAAGAGTTATTTGGTTCACAACTGGGGCCAAACAGTGAAAAGAAATTATGAATGGCGCAATATTGTTCATTGGACTATAATTGCGAAGGCGGTGCCTACGCCTCTAAAGAAGAACGTATTCAAAAGTAAAGTCAATGTGTGTTAACTTCTTTTGGTCTAGAAATACCAGTAATGTTCAAATGAGCACATCTTTAACTGTGTTTATCATAATGGCATTCTCGATTTGTATCATTCTCTGGTACAAAGACTACAATATCTAAAAAAAAAACTTAGATCTCGTACATGGTATATCATCGTTTTTCTGATACAACTTAGTATACAAAGTTGTTCCATGAATCTATATAAGTACTTTGTGGCTCCTAAAACCCGTTACCAAGTTACTGCTGAATGTAAAGCCCAAGCGCGGCTAGATTCTCTTTAACTTGGGTTTTCCACTGGAGTCGTGGCCTTCTCTTTCTTCCGTCTCTTTTCTTCCTTCTTCGCTGACCATTCTTCCTCCTTACCTGCAACATATCTAAACCAGCGTACACTATGCGTATTTCTTATGCGCTGGGCAAGATCGATGACATCTTAGAGATACAGTTCGAGCTTCATTGGAATACGAAGTCGTCCTCAATACTAAAGGGACACAGGATATCACCAAGTTTTGGCCAAAACTTTTAGTTCTGCGCCGTACAAGAGAACAGTGAAAATGAGAATATTGCGAAGTGTTAGTTTGATCGATCGAGCGGTGCGCTACAACATGACATCAAAGTCGCCGTGCAGTCCTGTTCTTGGACAACACTTATTTCCTCTTGGTCTCGTTAACCTTCACACACATCTTCACTGATCCCTTTCAAACTCCAGAAAATTCATCAGTTGGTACTTTGCAGGACGAAATTTCGCAATGCCCCTTCCCTATTTATATACCAAGTAGTATATTAAAGCCTATATGATCTATAGTTGTTGTTTTGTTGTTGTAGGAGTTGGCGAGTCTAGTTTAAACCATTGACGTCACTTAACAGGCAAACGAGTGAACGAACAGCTTCGATCGGTTCGGATCAGACTTGATCGTATTTTCCTCTATGAAATGTCGCTGAAGGACAAATATTTCATGTCAGTTTTCAAGTTTCCTTAACAAAATATTTCTTTATTTTAAGTTTCCCAAGTTCTTCGTACGCAGCCTTCAAGTAATTTTCCAAAGTTCAGGTGCAGGCATTTTTAGATTTTTTGCTGATACTCTAGGTACCTATGTTCAAGGTTCTTTCTATATTCCATAGAACTTATTTATATCATATAATATATGTATGTATGTATGTACTATGTATCCATGATGTATGGATAAAGAGCATAACAATGCATAATAATGCTTTTTATCCATACATGTATGTATTTCTTATTACTCAGCAACTAGTAGTTTTTTTTTTATTGATTTGAAAAAATGAAAATAATTGCTTTCATAATTATCCATATACCTACCTAAATGCGAGGGGATTAACAAAAGTTCGGTAAGTTGAAAAGGAAAAAAAATATTTTTGTGTTCATTCTTTGTTCTTTTTTATTCTCTCCACATAATCACCATTGATTTCAATCCATTTTTTAAGCCTAAAGATCCACGTCTGAAAACAGTCTTCAAAATTTAGCTTTTTAAGCTTATCAAGTTCAGCATTAACCGCATTAATTATCTTCTCGTGGCTTTATAGACCTTTCTTTCTATTTAATTTTTTTAATTTTTAGAAATAATCAGAATTCGCAGGTACTGTATCCGGGGATGATATTTTTCGATCCCAGAGATCGCAATAAAATGACTCGTTATTTCAGCAGTGCGGAATGGCGCGTTGTCATGATGTAAAAAGTAGCGTCGCAAGTCCTCTTTCTTCCTGTTTTCCAACAAATTTTTGAAAACCTTGGAAACCAGTCTTCGGTGTACCATTTTCCAGTTACCGTCTCACCCTTTTCCAGTGGTAAACTGACATGATTACTTTTGCTACTGATTTTTGTTGCTTAGACTTTACTGGTGGTTTTTACCCTCATCGGCTCCATACCATGAACTGCAGTTTGGTTTACGGATCGTACTTAAAGAACAAAGAGTCGTCAGCAGTAACAACTTCACTAAAGTTGCAAGATTGACCATTTTCGAATTTGTTGAGGAAAAATTGTGCAAAATGCACT